TCCCTTAGAATGAAAAATAACTAAATGATAGTTGCCTGAAGACATGGGCAATGGATGGCCTTGGTGGATGTTGGGCTAGTTTAAGTCCCAACAAGTATGGAGGAATAAGAGCTTGCAGAGGCTCTACTATTATTGGATTGTGAGTCACATATTTTATTAGATCTTGAGCTAGTGTTTTAGCTCACATATAACCTTAGGGTCACCCTTTACTCCTAGCTGGAGCTATATATTCTTGCGGTGCATCACCGGTGACCAGTGAACCACACGTAGGAGCATTAATGAGAAAAAGTGAAATGTTAAGGTTCTACAAACCAAATAAGAAAAACCAAACGTGAACATAAATAAACAATCTTCCTAATATAGCCTCTAGAAGATAGGGTACTAACGTCTCCACAATGCATAATTCATCTAGACATTAGTTTTGTATGAATGAAATTGGCAAACCTAGCTCCAATTCCAGCTTTGTCCTAATCTAAAACCTCATGTAATAATGGCATTAACAAAAGATGACTTGTAGGTAAGCCAACCCATACTCCAATACGATAAGTAACTGATATATAATGAAAAATCAACAACCAACAAGAAGATAACAACAAAATAAAGTAATACACAATAGAAAGAAAGAAATGATTTAAATATATATAACACTATAAGATCTCAATGACCTGATGGAATAAGGTATAGAGCTGCTAAAATTAGTACAACTTACGAAATGAATAAAATAAGTACACACTCGACTCAACTAGAAAAAAACTATATACAGATAGAGATGAGTCAAACTAGGATAGCATCATCTCATCCTCTACCTTTGGAAGACCCGTTGAAGCATAAAAATCAACTCTTTTGATTGGCGCTCAGATCGACATATAGAAAATTAAATGTAGAGTGTAATATGAGTACAAAAACCATAGGTACCCAATATGCATTAGAGGACAATTACGCTTGGAGAGCATATACATAATGAAAATCCAGGAAACAAATAGTAGCTAAGGGTCAAAAGAGTAGCAGAAAGCGGAAAGTCTAACTATAAACCCTGGAAAATCTAGCAGGAACTGAATGATAATGTAAAGCTACCAACTACAACCTAACTGGAACCCATAAGACATGAAGGTACAATTACGAGCAATTGAATTGAAAATAACCCAAATATATCCCCATAAGCTCAATGAGTACACACAAGATCTAATGATTTCCCTAGATACAACAAAGTATAATTTGAAGCTAAAACAACCGACACTGGACCTGGAACCATGTCGAAAGAACCTTGAAGAACCCAATAGAATCAAGGTTTCATGAGTAAAACACGACTAACGAAAATGTGCCTAGCTAGACTCAACCTATGGTTGGTCAAAATGCACATGGAACTCGAACAATAGAAAGTTGAAATGCGCACAAACCTCAAACCAAGGCTGAAACACTTTGAAGAACATCCAAAATCACACGCTCATCAACAATCAGAAGACACTGTAGAATGAAACCTTCATCGAAGTGACAAGGGACCCACTCTGGCTCAAAACCCATGACCCGATCAAAAGTAACCAATAAGGCCCGGAAATAACAACTGAAACTGTCGGGGCAATAACATAAGGGAGTTATGGACAAAAGTCCAATAGGAGTAGAGTTGTCACCTAGCTATTGATTCATACTACCAAACCCATGTTTGCTACATTAGTCTATAACGAGCTAGACTTGTCTAAAGCAACATCGGACGATTCGTAATACATAATGACTCAAAAATAGCAATTCTAATGTAATCACTAGACTAATCCTAGAATAAGGGTAGTAATAAGTTAGAATTTACAATACAAAAGGACACACAGATACAACAAGGCATGATACAACATCGCAATACAATAGAAATGTTTAATTACTTCGACTACTACCCGAAAGGACGGCTAAGGTAGGATTTCAAATAACTAAACATGAAAAAAGCTAAGAGCCCTGCCAAATCAAGCTAAACATCATGCAAACACTTACACAAGATCAATCTATCATTGGAAAGCCAAAGCAAACATCAAAGTAGATCATGCATGCTCTAAAAAAAACTTAGCCGGAGCTTTACCCTTCAAAAATGCCTCTGATCACTACCACACTATAAAAAAATGATAATAACATCAAGACGAATGTTTTAACACCTAATCTACAAAAATTGAAGACTGAACTAAAAATGAGGAAAAATGAGATTATGGGACTTTAGGGACGAATTCCGTAATTTACTCAATCTATTTGTCCCGTTAAGATCAAGGAGATTGGGAACAAAAAAATGGGATTTAACTACCAGTTATAGCTGCTTAAGTGTCACTTTTCCACCTAAGTGTCCTTTCAAAGTGGAACCTTCATTACTAAAGCACTTAAACCCTTGCTAGAGGCTCCACTAAAGTGACTCTCTAGCAGCTAAAATGATCATCGCTTAAGCATTCCATGTTCACTAATGGAGGTATGCCTTTACTAGGAAGGCCTACTTAAGAGGATCCTTGGCTGCTTAAGTGATAAGCGTTTAAGAGGTGCCAAGATCGCATAGGCGACTACACTAGCATCGGGCACCAAGAAATATAGGTATGTCTTACATGACTCTGCCCGGATGCTCATACTATCCCGGAAATTCTGGTATTTTAGTCATACCAAAAATGGAAAAAAACTCCCAAAGGAGGTCATCTCACCAAAGAGTGAGTTATACACCCAATGCTTCATCTATGCCACAAGTTACAATGTTGCTCGAAATGAGTCAAAAAGTCTAAGGACTCTAATCAAAGGACCACATATACAAAACTCAACTTTTTGGAGCTAATAGAACAAACATCATTACATTCAGAGGCTTTATACATGATGTGTCGATAAAAATCAACCGTTCAACTTCAAAAAGCTCTAACACAAACATCCATAGAACCAAATGAAAAACCAACTAATCGAACAGTCAGTCCTAACAAGTCATAAATGACTTAGAGTCTCTATATGTTAGTTCTAAAAGAAACTAATAACATAATACACGTTTACAAAAAAAAAAACAGAATACACGAAAATGACCTAGAGCGTCATTATAATAATAAAAATATGGTAGGATATGTAATGGGGGCAGAGGGGGCGGGGCGGATTGAGCTTAACCTGCAAAATTTTGAATTCACCTTGTCCCGCCCCGCATAACATTCTTTTTTCATTTTCAACCTGCCCCACCCCTCCTCGCAATACCCGCTCCGCATGAACCCGCCTCGCATAGTTATTTTAATATTTTCTTTTTTTAGTTATGTTAGATACTAAAAATAAAATTCATTTTTTCATTAAGGTGTATTATTTAATAGGATAATGACTTCATTTTTTTTATAGGTCAATTGAGAAACATGTAAGAAATTGAATTATTTTTTGTTGAACCATTTTTACTATCTTGAATATTTTAGTAGCTTTAAAAAAATTATCTTAATAAATAATGCTCTATTACTCTTATAACATGTAAAAAATTAAAATTAAGTTTAAATCCATATAAAATCACATATACATGCAACCCGCCCCCATCCCACGCCACATTAGTTATAAAAAACCCACTTCAACCCGCCCCGTCACGCACAACCTTAAACCCGCCCAGTCTCTCATAGCCTTATACCCGCCCCACCCTGCATCCACCCCGCCCCATTGCCATCCATATATATGCTATAATAATGAGAGGAATATAACTGATATAATAATAACCATAAATATCTGTAGATACTAAAATGATATTAAACCATGACCTAAAAGGATCATAAAGTGTCATCTACAAGAAGAGTAAAATCATTGGTTAATAATTTCATAGATGAAAATGAGGTGCTTTCTAATTCAATATCAAGCATACTTTATGAATCTCATATATATCTAATCATCAAAAGAAAAATGACATGCACATACAAATATTTTTATAAGCATTTTACATTTATAAATTATATCAAACAAAAAGGTTAACAAAAGATGTGTTAGTTATCTATTTACTTTTATTTAATAGACAATCAAAATAGAACGAACATTCATGAAAACATAAATATGAAAATTACTGACCCTTTGTAGAGTAATTAACTAGTACATCGACTTTAAAAACTAGATTTGATTGCTCATGACCCTCTGCTCTACTAAGGAAAAAACAATGATAAAAATAAAAATACAAAGCAAAAAATAAAGAAGCCTAATTAATTTTAAAAATGTATTTGAAAGTAAGTATTTATAGAGGATTTTTAGCATTAGGAATGTCTTTGACAGGAATATTCAAAAAATTTAACTTAAAATTGAGTCGAAGGAAATATTTAATTTTATTTGGATTGATTTTGTTAGATTTTTCATGTGAATTTGTCAGAATATGGCTGAACAGGGTGAAGTTTTCTGTGCTTTAGTTGAAATATTTTCAAAAGGAAAATATAAGGTTTGTAGTTGGTAAATAAGAATAAACTGTTGCTTAATTTTTTAGGCTAAGCATTTGAGTGGTATTTGGGGTATGGGTTGGTGCTTGTTGGGTTAAGGGATATGATTAGTTTGGGTGATGTTTAAGAAATTGGACTGACTAGTTTAAGCTATTCTAGGGTAAAGATTTGAGTTCTTTAATTGCATGTACGTTTTAACGCAACACTGATCATATGACAAGATATCTCATTTTTCAAACACACTTTATCATGTTTATGATTTAACCATTCAGAGGAGGATTCAACAACAATATTGTAATGTGTAATAGACTAACAAAATATATCTGAAGTAAATAACAAGATATATATGAACATATAATATATTGCAAAAAAAAAAAGAGAAAAAGAATTACATATACAGATCAACCGATTTAATCCTAAAATGAATGTAATTTTGTATTATTTTTCAATGAAATAAAAAGAAGAAAATTTTATTCGTCCATCCAATTCCATACCTTTGCCAAAACATTAATGTGATGTAGAGTAATTACAAGTTGAATCAATATTTAGCAGAATCCCAGGAGACATTATTATCTGCATTCATATTATTGTGCATCATCATAGATGCCTTCTCTGAAACACTCCAAACCTTTACAGATTTATCAAGACTTCCACTATAAACGACCCATTTCTGATCGGTTTGAGTGGATTCTTTATCTTCTTCTACTGCTAGACATTTCACTGGCCCATTATGACCAGTCAATACAGATAACAATGTGTGTATAGACTTATTGTCCCTTCTCCAAACACATATTGTTTTATCAGCTGATCCACTCAGTACCAAATTTCCAGCTGCTGCAAGGCATAAAATAGCCAATTTGTGTCCCTTTAAGACTCCACCATGTGATAATTGCTTCTCTCGTTCCCAGAAATTCACAACACCATCAGATGAACCGCAGTAAACTACTGAACCAGATTTGCTAACAACTAATGCTGTCACTGCACATTCTTGATTCAAAAGTGTCTGAACAAATACATGTTTTGGGTGTTTCCCTGAGTTTTCCCTCTGCCAAACCTTCACTGTACCATCAGCTGATCCTGTATACACTATGCCTTCAACACTCGTAACCACTGAGTTCACTGCATCATCATGTGCTTTCACTGATTCTATGCATTTCGAGTTATCAACGTTCCATACCTATTAGATCATATTGTTAAATTGTATTTTCTATTCTCTAATTAATATATATATATATATATATATATATATATATATATATATATATATATATAGAGAGAGAGAGAGAGAGAGAGATTATATAAACTAACCTTAAATGTTCTGTCCCATGAAGCTGAATAGAGAAGGCCTCGGGTTTGATCCATGCTCAAGCATGATATAGCGTCAACGTGCTTGATCCATAAACCACTCCTATTTCTCTTGACTTCGACATAGTTGCTAGGCTTAATGGATGCCTTGAAAATATCAAAGAAACTAGGCAAAGTCCCAGCACGTTTGTAGGTACCTGGATTCTTGGTTTGGATCTTCCAAACACGAACTTTTCCATCTTGATGACCAGTGAATATTTTCTCTCCTGAGATGATGATGGCTTTTACAAGTCCGCTATTTGATTTAAAAGCAGCAAATTCCTTGAGATTCTTCCAGACACGTATATTCTTGCTATCAGATCCTGTGTAAAGAAGATCGTTTTTGGTTGCTAAAGAATAAATGTGACCCTCTTCCCGCACAAGTGAACCAATAAGTCCATTAATTTGAGGGATATTATTGTTTTGGGAATTGCTACCCTCATCAAATTTGGACCATGGAGACCCTTGGTTCCATGGAGACATCATCATAGGAGACCCTTCACCGCTAAGACGATTCGCTTCATACGCAGAGAAACTGCTGTGTCTTGCATTGTAATTACTATTATTATTATCCGCATCATCGTCAATATGTGAGCTTGATATGTTTGGATCCGAGTGAACAGTGTTTCCTAATTTAGGAGGCAAATGGCTTGTATCAACAAACATTCTGCTTAATTGGCCTCCCCTTTTCTTAATTAAAATAACTATCTTCTCACAACAATCTATTATTAGGCTGAGAAGAAAAGGCAAAGGAAAAATGGATTAACAAAGTATACAAGAAATAGAAGGGAAGGGAAGGAAAATAAGAGAGTGGAAGAGAGATTTTCTAGGGAATTGCAAACTAGAGGCCATAAATTTTGAGTTTAACCACAGCTATTCAACATTTTCTATTATTGCTTATTTACGTGAAAAGTTTAGTCCTTGTATCTATAATAAAATCATCAATATAGTTTACGCCCAATAATATAATTTATGATAACGTCCACTTGTTTTGAGAAGCGCATAATTAATATTATTCTAATATCTTATAACGACGACAAAAAGATATATGACGTTAAATTTATGATTTTATTTTCTATTAAACTTCTTGTGAACTGCATGGTGTCGGGTCTACAGACCATCAAATATGTTTATAAAAAAATACATACTTTCTTCTGTTTTATGAATAACAATTTATTACCTCTTCTCATATAAATATTATCGATTAAATATTTGACAACTATAATTTTAAGTTGCTCAATTGTTTCTATTTATTTTTTCTGACGGTGAAGGAATGTTGATATTTTAAAAAATTTTTATAAATAAGATAAATTATATCAATAAAAAAATTGAAAAATAGAGAAAACCTAAAAAGAGGACATAAAAATTAATAAAATTGGTTAGCTTAAAAATGAGTTAAATACAAATGTTTAAAGAACTACAAATGTCTATAGAATTGATAAGGATGAAAATAGCACTGTAGACACGTAATTTTTTATCGAACTTAAAGTTTTACATCATTTTAGTGGTTAATATTTCTTTTATATTTAAATTAAGCATTTTGGTTTTATCATATTTTAGTAAGTTTATTGTAAAAATATTTAAAAATCACAAAAAATAGTGTCATGTTTTTAAGTTAAGTTTTGTTTTCAATTTATTCAAAAGAGAAGAAAATGTTCAAAAGTATATATTTTCTTTTAATGTATATTTAATAAATAACTAGTATTTCTTAATTATAATTTTTAATTAGCTATTTAACTTTTCTTAAATTTATATTAATTTCAAAATAATTAGATTTTATATTTATATATACATACACATTACCCCACTATCCCCCACTTCCTCACACCACAACACCCACTCCCCATATATACACCACTACACACACGTACAAAAAGAGAAAGAACTTCCTCACACCACAACACCCACTCCCCATATATACACCACTACACACACGTACAAAAAGAGAAAGAACTTCCTCACACCACAACACCCACTCCCCATATATACACCACTACACACACGTACAAAAAGAAAAAGAAAAAAAGTAAGGAAAAAAAAAACCATCAGCAACATGCCCACTTTCTCTATATACACACACGGAGCGCACACAAAAGAGGAGGAGGAACTACTACAAATTAATACCAAAAGACACCCAACTATACGTACTAATATGCACACATACTCTCATTTCCCTCACCAATAAAATCAGAAACAATACCTTACATATTACAACACATTCACACGCAAGAAACAAAAATAATATCCTTACATTTTAATCTTTTTTTTACTCACCAAAGGCCACCTTACACATTGGAGGGAAAAGATTGAATTCGAGGTTTGCTTTCATGGTGTGGAGTTCGCGGTTCCTTATTAGGACTATTTTCTTTTCGGTGAATTGATTTTCGCAAGAGGTACAATTTAATTTTTATTGTAATTTGATTTTCAAGATTATATAATACTTGATTACAATGTTATGAAATTGCTCAAATTTTATATGTGTTGAACTTTGACGCTATGATATTGAAATATTTCCTCTTTATTTTATTCTATGTTATCTTCCATTTTGTACCATATGCTTTTTTTTTGGTAGGAAAGGATATATATATATATATATATTAAGCTTAAGTAGCGGATACAGTCAGGATATTATAATTCCCTAATTTAGCTAGGTTAATACAAGTTGCTAAGGACACTTTTTTAGTACTAATGTGTCCTGCTACATCTGCTGCTAGGCTAGAGATTACCCCGGGACTACAAAACATTACAAAGTTACTATTAGTACTAGTAGTTCTTGCTTCATTAGCCAAGTGATGTTCCACCTTGTTACCATCTCTGAAGTTATGGTTGATAGGGGGATTCTGCAGTTTCTTCAGCCAGTATCTGCAGGAGGAGAGGAGAGAGTCATACAGTGAGTTTGAATAATCAGTTAGAAGAGTAATTACCTCAGCAGAGTCAGTTTTGATTGCCAGTGGAACAAATTTGTGGTGATAGGCTAACTCAGTGCCTCTAAGCAGTGCCAATAGTTCCATTGAAGTGGCATTGAAACCTTGATGTTGTTGGTAGAATCCCATCTTCCAATTACCATATTCATCACGGAAGACACCTCCTAAACCACCTACCAGTGATGGAGCAGAAAAGGAGCCATCGAAATTAAGCTTATAGAGGCCGTAGGGAGGGGGTTTCCAGCGAGCATGAATAGTGATCTTATCTGAAGGGGTAGAAGAGAGGAATTTGCCGGTAAAAGCATATTCTAAGGTGCGAGCAATAACCGTGGGGATAGAGATTGGGCTGTTAGAGTTATGAAAAATATTATTATTACGATTTAGCCAGATATGCCAAATGGCAAAAGGGAAATAGATTTCCCAACTGAGAAGCGGATCGGCAAAGGCGTGGTTGAGGTTTTTCAAAGTCAGCAGCCAGTTGACAATACTGTGATCGTTAACAATTGGGGAAATGGGGATATTCAGCTGGTTCCACAAGTTTTGAGCAATAGTCAACGAAAATATGCTGGGAGGTTTCAGGATTAGCATTACAGATTTTACACATGTTCGTGGGAAAGATTTGAAGTTTGCGAAGGTAGTAACCTGATGGGATTCGGTCATGATAGCACATCCAAAAGAAGAACTTGATCTTAGGAAGAGTATTGAGTTGCCAAATCCATTAAAAGTCCTTAAGATGGTTGGAAGGGTTGGGAGGATTGATAATTTGGTAGACTGAGGCGATTGAGAAATTACCGGTACTAGTGAGAGACCAGATGGGAGTGTCTCGAGAAAGAGTAGGAAAAGTCAGGATAGGGTGGATGGCTTGAAGGATAACTAGGGAAATTCGAATGAACAGTTGTCGAGGTTCCACAGGTTATTAGATCGAAGATCAACTACTACTATCAATTAAAGTACCTTTTTTATCCAACTAAAATTAAATTAAATGCATGAAAATAGTATTCTAATAGTTTATTGGTCAAATTTACGTAAAGTAAAAAATGTTTACTCTCTGTCTCAATTTATGTGACACATTTCGCTTTTTGAGAGTCAAACAATTTAAGTTTGACTGAGAATTTGCTCGTGAAATCTTCAAATTTTGTAAAATGAAATTCATATATTTGTGAACTACATAAAAAGTACCATAAGTCACAATAATTGATAATTCAAAATATTGAAAAGATATATGAAAAGTTTACGGTCAAAGATAGACTTGCTTGAATCTCGAAATCCGAAATGTGTCACATAAATTAGGACAGAGGGAGTATTTTTTTCAAAAAAAAAAGAAAAAGAGTTACACATTTTTTTTTATATTTTTATTTTTAATGTTTTTTGGGATAACTTATAAGTATATTAAAAGTGTAAATGCATCCATATCAAATTTGAATATGAAATAACTTTCTATTAGTTTAAAATTTTAAACTTTTATTATTTAAATAGTGTTTTGAATATAAATAGTAAAAAAGTAATTTAATCACTAATAAAATGCTTGAGCTATCTAGTAATAAGTAAATATTAAGATATATAACTCATTTAAAAAGCCTGTTTCGATTAAGAATGTGGTTACACATCTTTTTCTTGAGACATTAAAATAAACTTAAGGATACAATGACGCACCTTGTTTAATAATATAATTAACTGTCATCAATTTAAAGTAAAGACTTATAGATAAAATTATTAGGTGCGACATAAGAAGACAATTATGTCTCTAAATGTCAAGACCAAGAATGCGATTACACATTTAGGTTAAGACTGTAACATCTCGCTATTTGAAAGAACTAGAAAGAGTTAGAATTGGAAAGAGTCATTTTAGGAAAGAAGGAAAAATTTGGAAAATTGGTTAAGTTAGGTTAAGTTTGAGTTTTTGATCAACTTCAAACGTCCATAATTCATAGCTCAGAATGAGTTGAGTTTGCTTCCAGATACCGTAGGAAAGATCTTGGAATTATCTTTTTAACGTCGCCGAGTTTGCACGATTCCGAGTTTGTATGTGTGAGATATGGCCATTTGAAGTTGGGTTGTTCAAACACATCAAGAGTGAAGAATCTTTGAGACCCACGTCCAATTTCTTGGAGTTGAAACCCTTTGAATCTTCAAGGTTTTAGAACAAAGTCTCCAATACCCTCTAAAACTTGAAAATGAAAATATTCTAAGTCTCAATAATAATTGTCTATGACTTGATACTAAGCTAACAATTTAAACAAGTATTTATAGTGTTTGAAAATTTTACTGCGAAGGATCACTCGGCGCATCGGTGCAGTTAGTCGGGATCGCCGATACATTCGGTGATCCGCTTATTGGTCAATTTCATCGCCTTCTTGCTTTAGCCTTCAGCCTCTTTGCGCTTTGAGTCGTTAGGCGATATGGTATTGCTTCGCGGAACTACTCGGCCACACGCCGACTGCTCCATTTCATCGCCAACTTGATCTTTCCCTTCAGGGCTCAACACACTGGAACAAAAGGTGATCTCCAGGCCGATTGGCGACTCGCCAACTGGTCTCGCCGATCTTCAGGCCTTCATTTCTTCGTTCTTTTCAGCCGCTTTGTTCCTTCTTGCCAAGTAGTGTCCATGATTTGCCCCAAACTCCAAATACCTGAAACTTAAGGGTTTTCATCAGATATTGAGACAAAATATGCATTTGAGGACACTAATTCTATCAAAATATAGCCCTAAATGAGTCCAATTTGTGGACTCATCAAGAACCCATTAGCGTGC